GTATCAAGAAGGAGTTGTTTAGTCATTGACATCTCACACAACTTAACTACAGCATGGATACCGGAGACGGAAATCCTTCAATGTAAGTGCAAACTTTCGGAGACGATTGAGCTTTAGGTGTTGCTAACATCCATTTCCGTCGGCTCGATCTGTCGGATTACTGAACCCATTTCGCACGGGGTTTAAGGGGCTTGCCGACAACATCTTTTCACAAAGCCAAGGGAAAAGGATTCGATCTCGATGTATTTTAGCGAATAAACATGTCCCGCCGACTCTACCGACATGTCAGCCGCAAATGGGAGGGCTTACCCGCGCCCTGCATGTGGCGCCGCTATCACTTTATGGATCAACCCACGACAGGTTCCTTACTTCCCAAATTGGAATTCTTTACTTCCCGATTTGGAAGAATTCTGCTAGTACGAATCATCAATAGGTATAAGAGCTGATTATTGAGCTCTCCGAGGCCTCTCGAGTGCGGTACAATGCACTTTCAAATCTCGTTACATTACGCCGAGGCAGGGTTTCGGCATATTCAGTGCTCAAATTATTCTCTTATTGCGCATTCTGGCAACCGCCATGTCCTCTTCCTCCTGGACGAATGCAGATATGGGCGTGTTTGACAATTTCCCTTCCTCTTTCCTTCCTGCATATTACCTCTGCTTATTCAAGCGACCGGAGGTGATTACGCATCTCCATTCAACTCGTCTGTGAGCTTTGAACATCTTCCTTCAGTATCCTGTTGAGTTCTTCGCGCTGTACGCAGTTCTCCAGCTTGAACGACGCTGCTATCTCGTCCAGCTCGTCGAAGCTCTTGTCTTTGAAGTACGACGCATACTCGTACGTCAACACCTCGGAAGCGAACAACTCTCGGACGACACGATAGACATGGCCTTCGATACCCCACATGTGAGGGTATCTCTTGTTGTGAAGGTGCTCTGGGATCTCTGATCTTAGGTGCTCCAAAAGAGGTTCGTAGTATTTGCCCGAATACTTGTCGTCTCTTCCCCACCTGTCGAGACCCATTCGTTTCTTCTTCTCCAAAAATGGCTTCAATAGCCTCATGTATGCGGAGTTCGGGCTGGCGTACACCATTCCTGGGCGCTGTCAGCCACGTTGGGAAAAAGAGGCACATGCTCAACTCACCCTGGAATCCAATGTCCTTGTACAGCCAAATCTGGATCGCACATTAGTCGACGTCAGCCGCCAGCGAATCGACTCGACTTACGCTGTGGCCCATATGCGCTTTCCTGTAGATTTCTAACTGTTTCGCTAGAAGCTTAAATCTTCCTTCATTAATCTTCTCGTAATCGTCACCATCGTCTGGGCTCGCGTAGACTGGGCCCCACTCGCCGTTCCAGCCAGGCACGCCATGCTCTTGCATGAACACCATTTTGCGATCGAACTGCCTTTGCAGTACACTGTCTTGCTCCGCGGTCGCGACGTACTGCTCTCTCATTGGAAAACCGTACCCGGCATAATCGTGGAATGCGTACACGGTATTGGGAAGGATATTCTTGAAGGCGGAAAAGTCCATGGAGTACGTGTTCCCGTCCAGGAACAAGATGTGGTTCGGGTCGACCTTGCGGATCTCTTTCTCAATGCGATTGTAGAACAGCGGAACGTTGACATGCTCCGGATCTGCGGGTTCGTTCATCGGATTGTAGCCGGCAATCCAGGTGTTGTTTGCATAGTACTTGGCAAGTTCAATCCACAATTGCACCACCCGGTCCTGATGGTCTTTGTAGTCCCAGAATAAGGCCTTGTGCAGGCCAGAGTCGCAATGCCATGCTTGGTTTTGGCCTCCTGGCGTGGTGTGGAGGTCAAGAATCGTGTACATTCCTTCCGCTGCACAAGCATCGATGATACGATCGAGCAATTTGAAGCCCTCTTTCTTGATGACATCTGGGTTGCGGTCGTCCATAAAGTGCCGGTGGTTGAAAGGTATTCGAATGCAGTTCAGGCCTAACGAGGCGAGGAATTTCGCATCTGATGGAGTGAAGAAATACTCCATCCACTACAAAGGGGAAAGGGGGCACGTGAGCATGCGGAGTGCTGCCCGGGCATGTAATATAGGACATACTTTGTCAAAGAAGAATTGGTACTTCTCCTCGCCCATTTCTTCTTTCATTGCCCGCCTAACTTCGTGCTCCTGCCCTGGATATCCCGTAATGAAATTCTCCATGTTAGTGTGCCCACCGGTTGCACACTTTTTTGCATCAGTGACATCGGACCAGGATGTGTAGATGTGGCTTGACGAACTCCTTTGAGAATGACAACATTGCCATCGGGGTCCACGACCCTTGTACCGTCCACCTTCAGAAAGCCTTTCGGGGTTGATTTGGCGGCCATGTCGTTTCGTATCTCTCAAATTCTACACTCAATTGAAGTCTCGACTATTTCTCGAGCACGGTTCATTTGTCGCTAATGAACTGCCGAGTCGGGGATTTCGGGCGGCTAAAGAGGTGGAGAAGGCTGCCCAAAAGAAAGCTTGAAATCGATTTAACCGGGAGATCTTCAAGCCACCGCTGATGCCCAGAATCACTTTCACCATTGAGAGTTCACGATATGCATTCGTTCAGGCTAAAGGCCATGTGCCAAGTCTCATTTGCTCACCTGCTTCCAGCGACATCGACGTCTCGCAGACTGTGGCACTTTCACCCCGAAACATCCAAAGTCAGCATGGCTATGCGGCCGGGTCTGTAATTGGGCAGAGCGTCCCAAATCACCTAGCATCAATCGCATACCGCTGGCTTGGCTGGGGAAATGGATCGGAAGACAAGAGCAGCTGTCGGGTTCATGGTTCCTGATCACCGCAGTTCTCCCCGTGGGGAACCCAGAATCAACACGCGATAGCATATAAATGTCAAATTCTGCCAAATATGGCGGAGTTGCTGGCTTATCGTATCTCTTCTCTTGGGGTTTCGAGTGACGATGGCGCTGTCAAAGCAAACGGACGTGGCGAAAGTCGCGGAGCACTCTACGGTAAAGCAGCTCCTTGACCTAGACAAGACACCATGGTACAAGAAGAAGAATCTGCGGACCTTGTATTTATCTCTTGTGCCTGCCGTCCTTGGTGTTGAGATGACTTCTGGCTATGACGGGTCTATTCTCAATGGTCTGCAAGCTGTCGATGCGTTCAATTCGTATTTCAACAATCCTCAAGGCGCAATTCTCGGAGTCATTACTGCTGCTTTCAGTATTGGAGCCGTCCTCGCTCTTCCAGTTGTACCATATGTAAGGTTTCTATGCCGTTATAGCCTGAGATCATGCTCACATACTCGTTAGGTAAATGATCGCTTCGGTCGCAAGCACAGCATCACAGTTGGGTCCGCAATCATCATGGTCGGTGTGATACTTCAGACCGCCTCCGTTAATATTGCTGTCCGTCAGCTCTTTCATCCTCTTGCCACTATTACACACTAACTCTTCAACGTAGATGTTCCTTGTCGCTCGTCTACTTCTCGGATATGGCATACCATTCTGCATCAGCGGCGCCTCTCAGCTCATCGCAGAACTCTGTTATCCCAAAGAAGCTGGCGTCTTGAATGGTCTCTTCAACGAATCGTGGTACGCAGGCGCCATTATCGCCGCAGGTGTGACCCTCGGAACTTTCTCTATGCAGAGCAACTGGGCGTGGAGGATCCCAAGTCTCGTCCAGATCGCGCCCAGCGTACTACAGCTCACCTTCATCTGGTTTATCCCCGAGTCGCCGCGCTGGCTTATCTCGAAGGACCGCAATGAAGAGGCATTCGATATTCTTGTTAAATATCACGCCGAGGGAGATCGCGAAAGCGCCTTCGTAAGAGCCGAGTTTGCGGAGATCCAGCTGCGTGTGCGATACGAGCTCGAGAATTCGAAGCGCCGATGGGTCGAATTGGTCCAAACACCGGGAAATCGCAAACGGTCTCTTATCGCTGCTTGCGTCGGATTGTTCTCGCAGTGGTCGGGGAATGGACTCGTCTCGTACTTCTTAGCCAAGGTCCTCATTACTGTTGGTATCAAGGACAAGAGGACGCAGAATCAGATCAACCTTGCTCTCACCGTAAGTGCTCTAATTTCCAGCCACTACTCTTCGTCCGTCCACTTACATTCCTAATAGTGTTGGAATCTCCTCACCGGTGTGACATCGGCCTTCGTCACCAAAATCGCTCCTCGTCGAACCCAGTATCTGGTCGCCTTCATTGGCATGACCGCTCTCTTCGCCTGCTGGACTGGTGCCTCCGCCGACTACGCACAAACTGGCAATCACTCAGCAGCAGCAGCCGTCGTTGCCATGATTTTCATCTACTACCTCTTCTACACGATCATGCACCCGATGACGTATATCTATATCACGGAGGTCTTCCCGTTCGTCCATCGTGCTAAGGGCGTCGCGCTCACTCAGACATTCTCTCGCGCAGGCAGCGCCTTCAATCAGTTTGTGAATCCGATTGGGCTGCAGAACATTACCTGGAAGTTTTACATTGTGTACGTGGTGTGGCTGGCGATTGAGACGGTCATCATCTACTTCTTGTATCCGGAGACAAAGGGCCCCATGCTGGAGGAGCTGGGTGAGCTGTTTGAGAAGGAAGATCCATTGGCCAAGGGCGAGCTGGATCTTGATGTGGGAAGGCACGGCTCGGTGGATATGGCGGAGAAAGGGACAACGACTATTCATGAGGTTGCCGGGAAATGAGATCGCACGACGGGATCCCTTGTCTGGATTTCGTGAAGCTCGTGATATTAGGCTACGGCCCTCTAAATGTACAAAGATCTGGACAATTTCAATACAGACACCATTGTTTGAACCAGTGATCCATTTCTTCCTCCATACGATAATTTTTGACGGCTGCGGCGTGGAATAGCGAAAAGTATGCACATAAGCGACCCGAAGGGTAAATGCCGACCGACAGATCAAAAGAAAATTACATATAAGGGTCAGCTGTAGTGCTGGACGCCGTTTCGTCTGGTCCATGAAAGCCCAAAAAAGTAAATTCAACATCCACGAGGCCAAAAGAAAATGCCTACTAGAAGAATTGAACTTCTGATCTTCGCATTACAAGTGCGACGCGTTACCACTGCGCCAAGCAGGCAATTTCCACGTCGATGAAAAGGCAGGAAATATATAATGGTTGGTAGAGAACCGGGAGCCAACGATTTTTTGTCCCACCTCACACCGGCCCGATTCCCTTACATCGCCTTCCAACTTCCAGCCTCTGCACATTTTCTGATCTGTATTCTCTCTGAACATAGCCGCCTACGTCCTACGAGCCTCCTTTCCCACCGGACGTCCTTCCCAGCCGCGAGTGGCAGCGCTTCCGTATCGGTTCCGGCGACATGGTTCGTACTGCTGTGCCGCACACCGCCCACCGGTCAACCATATCGACCCATCACATCCCCCCTCGACCAATATCCATGAGACAAGGCATGCATATTGTGGCGAAATTTAATGCCTCGTAGGCATCTTCAAGCTTTGGTCCACTAAGGACGGCAGCGGGAGTGTGCCGGCGCTTAAGCAGTGACAAGGTATGGAGAGGATGGAGCCATACGCAAGGCTGGGGGTATATTGGGACATGGGACATGCTCCACATTGTTCCGCGCCTCGCTGCTGCTGGCCATCAAAGGAAGATATCCTGGTAGACCTTTAGGGGACGAAGGTAGACGCCTATTCAAGATATGTGGGCCTGAGGTAGGATGATGCTCCGTCTAATATTTTCCATTCATTCCCATATTCTGCTTCTGCAAATTTGATGCCTCTCTAGAGTATATGTCTTTGTTATGGAATTAGACTGGCGCGGTCGTTTTCAGCATTACTATACTCGGATATATTTGCAGCTCCAAGAGTCATTTACAAACCTTACTGTTTCTCTCTATGACTACCTGATATACATCGATTATTTATTTGTTTCCTCTCTCTCTAAAGTACAACAAGTTTTGCTTTCATGGGCCTACGGCGACTGTCCTTCTCGGCCCCCTCAGGCCAAACTCTGTGGAACATGCTGCCGGTTAGACTACAAGTCGCTGGCGCGTCTCGACAAGCCCCATGATTTCTGGAGAAGATATTATCGTGCCGATCTTGGCCTCTTATGCGATGTCATTGGAAGGGAAGGTTATTGTGACTTATGCAAAGCCATTGTGCAGTCAATTCGAAGCCAGGGTCGCCTGGAGCGCCCACATGAGCAGAGAGTAAAGGCTCGGAGCAGGCCCTTTTACACCACGATTGTAGATGGGAGGACTGGCAAAGAACTTCAAAATCCAAGGGCAACGAGCCATATATCCATCGTTCTGGAAGACCGTAACGGTGATCAACAGGTCACTCGCTTTCAGCCTTGTTCGTTCCCCGTTCCAATGGCTCTCAACGAGTCCAAGCCCATGGATATCCTCCACTCCAGCATCCAAACGACATTCGGTGGCCGTATTTTGTCTAGCGAACAGTCTCGACTGCAGTTATATGGGAAATGGTTTCAGTTATGTCAGAGTCAGCATGGGTCGAGATGCGCTGTATCGAAATTCCCTCAGCTGGACGCATCGTTTACGCATCCTCTACTCTTAATCGATGTGCAGAAGAAACTTGTCACCAATGCTACGCCAGATTACCGATACGTGGCGTTGAGCTACGTCTGGGGCAGAACCAAAAACACTCAGCTGACTAGCAAGAATTTAAAACACTTTATGACTGTGGGTATCCCGGGAGACATTCCGCGCACTATTCAAGATGCGATGCTAGTTGTGGACGCTGTAGGGGAGCGATTTTTGTGGGTCGACTCCCTCTGTATCATACAAGACGAAACGACACACAAGCAGGCTCAAATCGCTCAGATGGCAAACATTTTCTCCAATTCGGTGTTCACAATCGTGGCTGCTGCTGGGCAGGATGCCCATGTGGGCCTTTGGCCTAGTTTGAAGACTGAAATATACCAGCAGTCAGTTTTACGGATCGGTCGTCACACACTGATTGAGCTACTGGATCAGAGCTACAAGTCCTCGGAGTCGCACTGGGAGCAAGATCGGAAGCCTTCGGTCTCAAAATACGCATGGGAAAGTCGAGGGTGGACGTTTCAGGAGATATTGTGTTCTCGAAGGGCTATGGTCTTCACGCCCGTCCAAGCCTACTGGCACTGTCAGGAGAGAGATTGGTTGGAAGAAACAGCACTTGAGTATGCACCTCCATGTGCGTTGAGATTCCATACTGGCCCAACAGAAACAGCGGTCCACTTCTGGTCGCCGAACTTCAACCAGTTTTTCAAAGATGCCGACGCAATGCTACCGCAATACTTCCGGTCAATAGAGGATGCCCTGGTATGCTATGTCAAGCTCGTCACTGAGTACACGAAACGATATCTTACCAATCCGAGCGATGGCCTGAATGCCTTTTCTGGAGCGGTCAGCGTAATGCAAGGCTTAATGGGCCGCGATTTCTTCTGGGGTCTTCCAGAAGTTGAGTTCGGATGGGCTCTTGCCTGGAGTGCTCCTGACTGGGAGCTCCATTCTACAAATCGCTCCCTCACACGCCCTGACGCCTCTGACAGTCTTCGTCGAACTGGAACACCGAGTTGGAGTTGGGCATCATGGTACCTCGATGTACCTTCAGAAAAGTACGTTTGGTTTAACGAGTGTGATCCGTTCTGGCCATCTTTACCCCTTCCGGAAATATACTTCTACCGTAAAGGCCGCGATGGAACCTTGGTACTTATCCGGCAGCGAAACATCAAGGACATTGGAATTCCTCGGCCATATACCGAACTCACCGTTTACACCAATGGTACTGAATGGTATAGTTCAAGTGACTGGAAAGGTCAGCCCACACATATAGACAGTGCTATCACAACTGGAGCGCCCAACGGTTTCGTAGACACCGGAATCATACAGTTCTGGACGAGTACAGCCACACTTGTTGTTCATCGGTATATGAGCGAAGGCAAACTGCAGTACTTCGCGATGGGTGCTGGCTACATGCAGCCTTTTTGTCGGAAGTGGCATGAGCCCGGCAAGCCGTGCTATTGCAGAGTCAACGACGTAATCTGCGTCATTCAAATGGGCTCGACAAAGCACATGCCCAAAGGAGAGCACGAGCAGCGGAAACTCCTGTCAGAATCATACAGATGTCTGCCACGACCGAAAGCGGACAATGAGGATGAAGATGGTGACCTACTTGTTTTGGACTTCTGTGTTGTTAGTCGTGAAACTAGACGAAGGGACTTTTTGAATGTCCTTGCAATTGAGCGGGGTTCCGATGGAATATATTATCGATTGGGATGCGCACAAATAGAAGAGATGACTTGGGTGCATATACTAAACCGACAATGGTCGTTGATAACGTTGGCCTAAATCGAAAATCAAATACAGGTATCATGGCGAACGATTTCAAATTCGTAGTCATCCACTGCTCCTAGGTATAGGGAACGCCATGATAGTTAAAGTAGTTACATCGCGTCTTCAAAGTCACAGATATCCAACAACGCCCAGACGCCACCAGGAAGAGCTAGGGAATTCATTGTCCTCTCTTCTTGTAATCTCTTTCAGCGCCCGGGTTCTCCAAAACACCAGGGTACATCAGCTCCACCAACAGCTTCTCGTACCAACCGCTCGTCTCACCACGGATGCGATCGATTAAACTCTTGTGGTGCAGCTGCTTGTAAGCCATTTTCACCTGATCTGCATGCGGCTTGTCCCAATGCACGTTGACGACGCGGTTGGTCAACACTGCCTCATTCGTGCCGATGCCCTTCATAGAATGCTCAAGCTGGTCCGCTTCCGCCTTAATCGGATCAATACCCCTCTTGAGCATCAGGAGCATTGCATCTTCCATGTGCCCGCTGAACTTCTTCTTGATATCCTTCTCCAGATTTCCATACATTGAATTGTATTTCTGGTTGATGGCCCTGATCTGACCATTCGAACGCTTTCCGAGGATGTTCATTACCGCATTCGTGTCTTTGCTACCAAATGACGAGCGCATTGCGGATTTGAGCTCTGCTGCATCGCGCTCAATCTCTTGTGGGATGCATGGCGCATTCTCTTCAGGTCGCGGGCGTCGATCATCCAGTATGAGCATGAACAGGTCCTTCGTCTTCATGGAGAGGTCGCCGCCCACGGCAGCTATCATGTCTTTTCCGTAAATCTGGCGGTAGGACTGCTTCATTTGGTAGATGTCGTAGTTCGTGCGACCGAGAAGCACATCGTTCAGTAGATCTTCGGAAGTTCCAGGTCTGTTGATGGCTTTGTTTACAAAGTATGCGTCTGATTCGGCTTGAGTACGCGCAAGTGTGGTACACAGTTCGCCGTAGTCGCCGCTGACGTCGCCCTCAATGGCTTTGAGGAAGTCTTTCCGTCCACCACCGACAGTATGCTCGTGCGCAAACATCCTATCGTACGTCTGTCGCAAGTACGCCATCTGACTGGGGTTTCCCACAGCAGCCAGAGTCAGGACCAGCTCGCGGTCGTCTGTTCCTAACCCTGCAATGGCCTTGTGGATTCGAATGGCGTCTGAGTTCGGATCTGCACCTCGTGGAGCGGTGGGTTCGCCGAAATGACCAGCACCATGTGGCTGCTTGAGCTCTGCGGTCAGCGCCTGGACTCCGGACTTCAGGTGACCGAAGGTAGATTTGGGAGGCCTCACCTGAGCGCCATGCTGCCCCTGATGAGGGGGCTGCTGGTATTGTCCTCCAGCCGGAGGAGCTCCCCATCCTCCAGGTTGTTGCACTGGCGGTGCAGGCGAGTGTGTGTAATTGCCCTGTGGAGGAGGGGCATGACCCCACTGCTGGTTTGGCGGTGGTTGTTGTCCCCAGTGCTGTTGTGGAGGCTGTTGTGGAGGCTGCTGTCCCCACTGTTGCTGAGGAGGTTGATTATAAGGCGGCTGTTGACCATACTGGCCTTGTCCAGGCGGTGGTTGGCCCCATTGCTGCTGCTGTGGGGGGTATGGAGGTTGCTGCTGGTTGTACATTTGGTATGGAGAATGCGATTGAGGTGGGGGTTGGTTCGCGGGAGGGTAGTAGCCTGGCTGGGGCGAGTCTATACATATATTCTTGTCGTCAGCAAGCTAACGTCTGCCAAGTTAAATGGTGGGGGATAGGCGACTTCGCCGCGTGCAAGG